TACAGTACCCTGCAGTCTTAGTGGGCCGATCCCGTCCAGTTTCCTCCTTCTTGTGAAGGGTACCATTACAACTTTCCTGGGATTTATAGAGAGCCCAACTTCCTGGCACCAACGGTCCACTACCCTTAAAGCTCTATTCATAAGGTCAGTTATGGTTCCGTGGAACTTTCCAACCACAAGGATTGCAACATCATCAGCATAACCTAAGGCGAAAACCCCACTTTCGTTGAGGGTCCTTATAAGGTCGTCTGCTACCAAATTCCAAAGTAGAGGAGAAAGAACCCCCCCCCCTGAGGACATCCTCGAGTAGTTCTTGCCTCGATCGTATCATTGTGGAGTGAGAGCCTAACCTTCCTACTGAGAAGCAAGGATTCAATCCATCTACATATTATACCGTGAAAACCTCTTGCTCTCACCGCATTAAGAATCGCTGGAGTACCAGTATTGTCAAAAGCACCTTGAATATTGAGAAAGGCACCCAGGGCCACTTCACTGCTCTCTAGAGCTTTCTCAATCTTGCTTACAAGTTGGTGCAACGCAGTCTCGCATGATCTTCCTGAGACATACGCATGCTGATTAATATGTAAAGGATGTGTCCTAAGAGCTGTATCCATCATATATCTTGAGACCAACTTTTCTAGGATCTTAAGAAAGAAAGAAGATAGAGAAATGGGTCTGAATGACTTAGGGTCAGTGTAACTATCCCTTCCTGGTTTAGGAATAAATGCGATACGCGAATTACACCACCCTAAGGGAATGTGTCCTAACGCTAAGCTGGCTCTGAAAAGTTTACAGAGTGGGTGTATAATTGTATCAAGACCCTCCTGCAAACAAACAGGTCTTACCTCATCAGGACCCGGCGATTTGAAGGGTCGTAATAAGCCAACAGCCCATCTTACCTTGCTGAAGGTGACTATGCGGCAAGCAGTGCTCCACATAGAATGAGTGGCACGGCGGCCCAGGTTAGGCCGCTCTGGACTCACCTCCTCCTGCTGCACTTCAGAAACAATACAACCAGGGAAATGAGTTTTTACCATAACCTTTAGTATTTCGGTAGGTTCAAAAGCCATTACACCATCCGGTCCCTCAACGGCACCCAAAGTAACATGCCTGTCTCTAACAAGTACCTTATGTATTCTAGAAGTATCCTTGATACTCTCTAAATTTCCACAAAAATTTTTCCATGAGAGCCTTTTGGCCTTACGTACTGCATGGTTATATTCTGTGAGAGTTGTATGGTATGTATCCCAATTATTGGTTATCTTTGCTCGCCTAAATTGGGCCCTTACTCTCTTCCTAAGAGAGGCAAGTTCAGGACCCCACCAACTAGCCCTGTTGCTCTTTCCCTTGCTCAAAGGACAATTATCCTCAAAGGATGTAACTATGCACCTAGTTAGACGATCTGCCGCCTCGTCAAGCGCATCAACTGTGTTAATAGGAGATGTGTTCAGGTTCGAGGCAATTCTGCCCCGAAGATCAGCTCTGAAGGATGCCCAGTCGGTTTTAACTGGGCTCCTGAATAAGCGAACCTCGCCGCAGAAATTCCCCAACCCGAAGACAATGTGCCTATGATCAGACAGGGATGGCTCAAGGGACACTGACCAGTCAATAATCCTGTCAGCCATACCCGCCGAACACAGGGTAAGATCAATTACTGATTGGCCTATCCTGCTTAAAAAAGTTGGTTCTGAGCCTACATTTGCAACAAGTAGGCCGCAAGAAGCTATGTATTCTAGAAGTGACCTACCTCGGTTGTTAGTGTCCCTGCATCCCCAGGCCGTATTATGGGCATTGGAGTCGCAGCCTATCACGAGTTCGGATCCAGACTCGTGTGCGAGGTCGACCAATCTTCTGACCTCGGCCGATGGGAGCAGTCCATCGTCGCCCTGTGGCATGTAAACAGAGGCCAGCAGCAGTTTTATGTTGGATTTAGTACATACAGTCTTAATTACTGTTACGTCCCTCGAACAAAGCTCTAGAACTGGATTACATTTTAGCCCCTCTTTAACCCAAATGCAAGTTCTAGGGTGTGGTACAGATGCAGAGAAGATGCTACCCTTTATAGTTCCCATCCCCGCAATTCTAAAATTATTGATCCAGGGTTCCTGAATCAAGGCATAATCTAAGGACTGCTTAACCGTGCTCAGACAGAACACAGCCGTGGCAGCCTTACTGTGTTGTAGGTTCGCTTGAAGGACCTGAGTCATCAGAGGGAGCACCAGAGATAACTCTGAGCTGTATTTTCCCCAGACCCAGATAGATAATCCAGCCACGATCTTTCAGAACCTGCGCATTCATTTCATCAATAGCAAGAACAAGAATCCGATGATCATCCTTCCTCTTCCCACCAATGACGCGCCAGTCCTTTGTCGTGACACCAGGATTTTGCCGCTCAATCTGAACAAACACTTTAGAGGCTTCGACCTTGGCCAAGCGCCTGTCAGTGCGTAGGAGCACTTTGGTCGTGCGCAACAGATCCTTATAGTCTGCTACAATGACCTCCATACTCCCCTCACTTCCCAGCGCCAGCTTCGGTGCCACCCTCTTTAGCCAGTCAGTTGTTTCAGAATTACCACAAGTTACGACAAGAGCACCCTTCTCATGGTAAATTTTTTCAAACTGATGAGGAATGTTGGCGCCATCATCACCAAACACCAACTCCATCAGTTTGTCCTGCAACAAATCACATTCCTCAACAGAGAATCTCGCATCGGGATAGGCCGCTGGAGCTACTGCCAACTTGTGACCCACAAGCTGATCTCTGTAGCTGGCCTTTCCTGCAACGAGTCCATCTGCTGATTGATTAGAGTTTTTATTTCTCTTAGAAGGAGGATTTTGAGACGACCCAGGGTTACTATCGGATCCGGTTCTACGCATCGGTGATACGCCTGAACCTTCCCCAGGAGAACTCAAGGACTCTCGCTTCCTCTTTCTCCACTGTCTGTTAGGGATCCACGTGCCCTCAGCCTTTTTCCTTTCTCTAACAGACATATTGTACTCAGTTTTGGTCATAACTGTAAAAGTGATCTCAGAGTCGGACGAAACATCCGCCAGAGATGGAGAGTCGCCAGCACTGCTGGTGTTTAGTGGCTTATTCAGGTCTGCATCTAACCTGTGGCAAAGCTCAAGCACATCAGTAGATGAATTGGGTGGAGTTCTTGCTGTTAAGGAACTTCTCGAGAAGACCTCTGGCGTGTCCAGGATCTCCCCAGGTTCCGTCTCCATAGCGGTGTTCTGCACAGTAACATTATCATTGTTAAAGGAAAGCTGATCGTTGCCCTCCCCAGAATCCATGGGCTTGTCCTCCAAAAAGGAGGAGTGGGCTTGAGCAGGTACCCACCTGGGGTAATGATTCCGTTCGTTTACTTTCAGCCATTACTAAAACAAGAAAGCAAAAAAGTTAGCAGTTTAGCAGCCGAACCGTGACCCACTCACTACGCCTGCTAATATCCAAGACTGGACCCTTTCGGGGTAGGACCCCTCATCGTCTCCAGCTCAGTCCTGTCACAGCTGCACACATACCTGTAACAGTTGGCGGTAACATTAGCTATCTGGGCCTTGGCCGGATTGGTGATTGTCACCTCCGCCCAAGGCCAGTACTAGAGCAGCCGCTCCCTACCCTAGGGCTGTCTAGTCACGACACAGCCAGCGCTAGATCCGCTGCCTTCAGCGAGTGCAGAGGCACCCCTTGCAGGCTGTGCATAGCACAGTACGACTTTGCTGAACAAAGTCGACTCACAGCGGTCTTGGAGGAGGAGCTGTCATAGACAGCTCCCCCTCCCTGAGGAGCTTACGCTTGCCTCTCACCTCCTCCATCATACTCTATCCTGACTCTTTTTTCCGGTATCTCATCTCGTTCATCGGGACTCCTTCCTTGACCATGTTGGACCGTCATAAGTCTAATAACCGTGTTGTTATTTCTACCTAGGTTACCCCAAAGCTTAGCAAGGCGACTAGGTACAACATATAGTTGTGCGGCAAGTTTAGCGCAGATGTAAAGTATTTTGCTAGTAGCGCGATATTGTGTGCAGATCTGCATATACGGATCATCAACATCAAGACGACGGGACGAGTGACGCCTCGCCATTTTGGACCACGTTGACGTCGAGACCAGAATCTAATATGTCTGGGATAATAGGAAGTTTAGGGGAGTTTTACTCTAGTTTTGAGACTTGGGAGGCGTATATTGAGAGATTCAAACTATTTTTAACGTGTAATAACATTAAGGAGGATAGAAAAGTGTGTACACTGTTGACAGTAGTGGGTATAAAAACGTTCAACTTACGAAGGGATTTGTGTACGCCCGAAAAACCATCGACGAAGACTTACGACAAACTTGTGAAATTGATTGGTGACCACCTGTATCTAAAACCTGATGCAATCACCGAGCGCTACAAGTTTAGTCAGCGGAATTAGCGTGAAGGAGAGACTATGGCTCAGTATGTAGCAAGTTTGAAAAAAACTTTCAACTCATTGCGATTTAGGTAACAATCTAAACAAGTACCAAAGAGACAGAGTGGTAGGCGGAATTCGTAATGAACATACAAAACTAGCAGAGACCGGCCTGACCTTCGATAAGGCAGTATCGATGATAGCTTCAGTCGAGACATCAGAGAAAGACGCAGCATCACTTTCAATCAATGCAGACATCAGCGGTAAGCTACAGAAAATGACAGTCCGACCAAAGGGAGCAGCAGCATCAGCGCCAAGGGATGGAGAGCAGCATGGGATAAAGAAGCAGGCAGCACAGACATTCCATCAGACACAGTTTAATCGTGGGATTAACAACAGAAGTGATAAGAAGTGTGACTGTTGTTATGTAGGAGTAGGACACTATAGTCGTGAGTGTAAATATTATGGGGCAGTTTGTCATTTCTGTAAGAAGAATAATCATTCAGCAAAAGTTTGTAGATCTCGATTGGGTAATATAGATAATACTAAGGTATGGTATGTAGATAGTATAGTATAGATGATACTAAGGTATTTATCATATTTTGTAGGTTTCCACTGAAAGCGTAACAGCCATCCAAGGAGGCGTGGTGGGAAATAACGGATTTGATGAAGTTCTAGTCACAACATATACTGGTGAGTGCAGTTCTGGGCAGAACCAATAAAGATGTCTGTTTTAAAATGTATGATTCAGGAATTATCATCGTTGAAGAATCTTTGGAAAAGTGTAAGATATAGAGTATTTTACAATCGTATCAATGTAAGTGTATACTCTCTGTAGTCTGGTATTTAATACTAAACACAATTTCTTTTAAACAACTGAAGAGTATTTTCCCTGTTTCTATTTTTTTAATCAACTCATATACTAAATATTTGAATAGGAAACAAAATGTTAATCTCTTTACCAAATGTTATTCACTACCACAATCCTAAAGACTGGTTCAACATTATTATACAGAATAATTGTATTTTAGATATCAAAACAGTACAGGACAGTATTAAGATATAGTGTAGTTTTATGAGTTTATTTTGATGTATATTTAATCTTTGAAATTCTTGACTTATCTCACACCACCATGTGGTCAATTAAAACGAGGGAGAAGTAAGGAGTAAGACAGTTTGTAACTTAAAAAATATATGTATTATTTATTTCAAGGTTGGTTTTTTGGATTGACAACAGAAGTTATTGACAAACAAATGAGTGGAGAGGGTGGAGACTTGAACACCAAAGTTAAGATTTCAAATGACGACAAGCTAAAAATTGTTCGGCTAAGGTATCAACAGTTAACATACCGCACATTAACATACATTACGCACTGTGAATTGTTTTCTGTGGTTGCACTGACAATAGAGAATCATTGCACTGGAGAATCGGTAATAGTAGTAGGGAATCATTGCAATTGCTCACCAAGAAATGATGTCAAATATATAAGGAATCTAGGTATTTAAAGACACTTAGGGTTACCGTAGTGATGTATTTAAAGCTGACGTAGCCTAAGTGACGTCATTTGATGACATGACCTGATTACATGGGAGAATATGACAATCACAATCGACCTTAAGTGGAGACTTATTCACTTAAATAAGTCCTCTAGATCTTTTGATGCAGTTGGTTTTTTGGTTTTTTGACGGCTCTAGTCTCCTCCGGGCCAAATTGGGACGCCGTATATGACAGGGCGTCCTCCGACTTGGGCAAGCTCAAACTATGGTTTGACCACAACATACTATCCTTAAATGTGTCCAAGACCAAATGTCTGCCCATTTACTTTAGATGCGACAGTGGTCCGGGCCATAGAGTACTCAGGTTGCACGGCTGCGGGGGTCCATGGACAGCGCCGTGCCATTGTGAAATCATTGAGCAAGTCGAAAATTACAAATACCTTGGGGTCATAATTGACTACAAACTTAGCTGGGCTCCACATGTTGATTACGTCAACAATAGATTAAGAAAAATGATCTTCGCTTTTTCACAGCTTGGTTGTGTGCTGTCTGTGGACCATTGCAGGTGTGTATACTTTGCGTATGTCCAGTCACTGTTACAGTACGGGATACTTGCGTGGGGGGCTGCGTCTGCCTCTGTCTTGGCTCCTCTTGCTGTTACCCAGAAATCCATAATTAAACACATACTAAAAAAAGACCAAAGATACCCCACCTACCTACTTTTTCAAAATTTTCCAGTCCTTAACATCAGGAAACTATTCCTAAAAACAGTTATAACCTTTTCAAAAAATAATAAAAGCAAAATTTTCTCCGATTCGCTACATTCTTATGACACTAGATCTAGAACACACATAGGCATCTCCGTTCCCAAATTGAACAATAAAGCACAGCTTCTTACCCCTCACTATCTAGCCCACATTATACACACTAATCTCCCCATACAGATAAGAGAATGGGAGGGAGACAGTGTCACGGTTTTCAGCAGAAAGATCGGGCGCTGGCTTCTCGGTCTGAGCGATGATGCTGCCGAAGAGCTCATCAGATCCCAGTACAGGGCATAATGAAAGTCGATGACAATTCTAAAACTAAATTAGGCTAACAATACCAAACTACTTCAGTACTGGCACCCTCATTCAAGTACTTCAAATATTGTTCATGTTCAGTCTTTTTTTTTTGCCAACAATATGGCAAAAAAAATACTTCTTTTTATTTAAGTAATTATTTGTTTATTTTGTTATCTTGTCTGTGAAGTGGTGAGCGACGGAGAAGACTCTCCCCACACGCAGATGTACAGTCTTTGTGGGGATTTTTTTCCTTTGTACTTTGCTTTACAGCCACGATTGTAATTTTTGTAATTTGTAATTTTGGAAATAAATAGTATATTCTTATTCTTATTCTTATTCTTTTTGAGACCTGGAGGTTTAGCAGAACAAGTGATGTGGAAAATATTGATGGGGAAAACTACAAGCGGAAGATAACCTCATAATTTATTGTGGCTGAAACGACGCAGTACGAAATGAAGCCCAAAAAGCACTCTTGATTGAAATTACTTTGCAGAAATACTTAACGGCATTAAAATAATTTTCATGGACTTGCCTATCGTCACTTAACATGCAATACCGCCTATCTGCAAATTTTGCCAAATCAGGATTTTGAATCCAACACATTCTATGAGCAACTACGCTATGGAACTACTTGGGTTAGTTTTCAGTTTTAAATCATTAGATGGTGCAGTCATATTGTTTGCAGCAATACCGGTAAACTGGTTTCTTCCAGAAATACCTCCCATCTGTTAGGTGACTGTTGGACTCTCTGCTAAGCAACAGGTAAGCTCTGATTATCACTGCCTCTATCACATTTAAATGCATTGTTACTTATGTACTTGCAGTTATGCCATTCATGGAATAGTCACGTAACTTATTTTGTTTAGACTAAGTTATTGTATTTTAAAATTAGAAAATACTAAAACTGGCCATAATTAAATGTGTATGTAGATAAAGTAGACTCACTCTAATTTGCCCTCGGTTGGATCGGCCGCCGGATGGTTCAGCCGGTCTGAGAAATGAGTGGAACTCCCTCTTGTTGGCCGCGGTTGGATCGGGCGCCGGATAGTTCGGCTGTTATCAGAAGCATGAGTCATGTCAGCTACATTGTCGCGCCACTAGTGACTAAACTTTGACTGGATTCAACGTGAAAAGTTTAGTTTTCGCCCCATTGTCATTGAAGTAAACATCGTTACCTAGTACTGTAGAATGAGTTACAAGTTGTTCATATACCTGTAGTGTGTTAAGTGTGTTCGAGAAAAATGTTTTCTAAAATGTCTGAAAAACTAAAACATACTTTTGTTTCAATGGAACAGAAACTCGCTATCCTACTGTAGAGCGCCTGGATAAGGGCGAATCTGTCTACAGCATTTGTAGAGAATTTAATGTCGAATAGATAAGCAGTCCAATTTTAAAGGAGAAGGCAATAATTCTTCATGGAAAACTGGAAGGAAAAGACACTTTCACAGCAAGTGATGGCTAGTGGCGATCATTTGTCCCTGTTGGAACAAAGCAAAAACTTGAGCCAATTGCATGCTTGTGGCATGAGGGAATATCTGGGAGAAAGAAAGAGGATATTGCGAGTGTGCGATGCAAGACTTCCTTGAATTAAACGTAGATGCAAAAAAATTTTTACCTGGCTTGACATATGCTCTAGCCAGAACAAAATTTGGGCCCTGTTTTCCCACCCTGTAGGAGCAGTAAACTCCAATTAAATTCAAGCAACTTCAATTAAGCTCAGTTACCTAGAGCCTGGTCACACCTTCATGTCTGCAGACCACTTCCACCACCAAGTCACTCAACCGGTATGAACGTCTACTTTCATAGATACCTTTCTAGGCTAATTAATAAGGCATGTAAAAAGTAAATTTTTATTTTAAAATTTTTATACAAGCATAAATATTTATTGCACTTGGTGTTGATATTAATTTAAATATATATGTTTCAATTAACACAAACTTTTTTTACAGGTAAAAAACAAAGGAAAGTTTATGACTTCGCAGAGTTTGAAGAGTGTGTGCAAAAATCGTGTTCTAGGAAGGTTGAAGTTAAAAGTCGGCAAACAACTGATTCTTTCTTACCTTTTGACTTTTGTCCCTATATAAAATCATGAAGTAATATCCCCGGCCTTACCTGAGTGATTTGGTTCAGGTAGTTTTTATGAGAGGCAGTTTGGATCTCTGATTCAAAAAGAGGTCTGTAGAAGAAAGTATTGAAGTGTCAATTCTAAAATCGGGGTACTTGAAAAGGAATCAGTCCCTAAACCAGAAATAAGGGAAAGCGAAAGGGAGATTAACCAGCTCAAAAAAGCAGATATAATCTCTAAACTGGTTCCTCTTATGCCCCAAAACTGGCATGAGTTTAGGCTGAACTTTCAAACAAGAGATGAACCTGACCTTGTGACAGAAATTGATGACTGAACTATGAAGAAAGTGTTTATATGCTGCTGTGATTTTACTTTGTCGAATTTATGCAAACAAATGGACAACCCTTAGACGTAAATTTCAGACATATAGCCAACATTTATTTATAATACCAGTGAACCATGAACCAGTGAATTTATGCAGATGAACAATCCTTTACACAAGGATTATTCCTGACATAGTCCACCTTATGCTATATCAAATATTTTGATGTTATGTTACGTAACTACTGAATGAACAACTGGTTTTTAAGCCAAACAACAGTATCTGCAGATTTTAAGCCAGAAAACTACATTGTGGATACTGTAAGCTTAGAGAACTGTTACGGTTTTCTTGGTTAGAAGACACTAAAATGACTTACAGTAACTACAAGTATTTAAATAAAATACATATCCTGAGGTTAAAAATAAAGTTATATTTAGATTCTAAAGAAAACATATATATGAATGAGAATAAAGAATCATCAAAAAACACTAAACCAGCTGTATCTCAAAATCACCCAGACTGCAGTTACGGTTTTCTTCCTTAGCAGGACAGAACTGGAAAGAAGAGTTCCTACAAGGTGATTTTACTGGTACAGCTGTTTAAGGAGGTCAGACAAACTTTTCAAGTAATTTTGACCGTGCAAGGTGAAGGAAAAAAGGTCAGATCTGAATCACTTGGTTTAAGTGTGCAAATTCAACAAAACAGTTTTATTTTCTATCTTCATGCAATGGAAAACATTTTAGGAACCACGTATATTTTGTCCAACAACTTCAATAAAAAGATTTGGACTTGTCAGCTGCAGTGGCCCTAATTAAAGCCACTCGTAAAAGATTTGTTGATACAAGAACTGACAAGGCAGTCAACAAGATTATTGTCAAAGCAAAATCTTCAAGCGTAAAATGTGGGATAGAGTGGTCTCAAGAAAGGAAAAAGAAACGAAAATAACTATCCCTATGAAGTTACAAAGTGATGTGGTATATTCCAGCTTGGGACAAAACCAAAGAGACACTCCAACTAGTGAAGAAGACCAACCTGAAATCAAACGGGTATGTTTTGAAATCATCGAACAAATTATCCCAGAGCTTGACCATTAGTTACTTTGTCCCTTTGGCAGCGAAATGCTTTAAAAAGGATAGTGAATCATTTCTAGAATATAATAAACTCGAGCCTTTCTTAGACTACTACGCAGGGCCGTCGCGTGGGTGGGGCGACCCACAGGGGGCCACAGTCTGGGGGGCGCCGCGTAAGCGGTGGCTTGGAGGGCACCACGGCCACGGGAGCGCCGCAACAAAAGTGATACAACAAAATTGAAAAAAAATTAATTTAGATGTACATAAAGTAATTTGAAAAGTTATGTATGACTGAATTTTTAATATTACGTTG